AATGAGTGGTTCTTTAGATATCAGTGGAACAGTCATAAAACAGCTAAAAATTAGCTAATTATCATGCAAATTAGGTAATTAACGAGCATGGATTTTTACCAAAACCTAATCAAATCTGCACATTGGCCCAGAGCATCTATGCACCAAGTTTCATCAAAAACCGATGTATGGTTCTTGAGATAGCAGTGGAACAGTCGGACACACATACACACATACACACATACACACACACACACACGTACAGACACACTAACTGCAAAGACTCCCATTTTGTGCTTCGCACATGGGAGTCAAAAATGAATATATGAAATTTGAACCTAATCAGTCACACTTATAACGACTATGTACTATTCAACAACCCAATCAAAATGTATTGCCATTGCAAAGCAGTCACTTGGATATTTCATTACATTTGTCATTTGCACAGTATTTATACTTCAATAAAAGTCTTTACCTATCATATCTAGCTTTTTACTTTATTTTTTGTGCCAAATGTTCCTAACATTGAATGTCACTCTTGTCTCTCCTCACTTTTTTATGTGCAAATTGCATGCGCTGACATATAGTGTATTTTTGCCACAGAAGCCACATTTAGGACTACATGACAACGCGTTGTGATCATTTCTCTACCTAAATGAACTATCCTGGCATCAACCATGCCAATTCAAAAACAAGCACCTGTGCACCTTAACCAAGGTTCCCCTAAATTAGGCTAGCCAAGATATGATGGTTATTGTCAAGGAATACTAGTATTATATCTCATAAAAAGAGTTAACAGCTCAGTTTGCAGAAAAGGTAATCAAAAGTAGTCACCTTTTAAATTAAAATACCCAGAATTTATTCATTTTGCTATAAGCTGTACTACAAGGCAATATAAGAAAATTGATCTAAAAAAAGTTGGGGGTCACCAGCCTCTTTTTCGAGAAATTGATGGTTGTATGTCAGTGGAAAGTCACCATTTTGACACTATTATAACACTTTCACCATAAGTTCCTATGGCAGAGATATGCAATATCTCATAATCTAGCCTGGTGACATAGGCTGAAAAAATAATATATTGTTAATGATGGAGTACTTTTTATTGTTCTTAATTATTTCAAAAATCTGGCTTTTAAAAAGTGTCAAAAAATTCATATTTTTTAACATTGTGTTCTATGGAATTGTTCTAAAAATAGCAATTTTCAAGAAATATTAGGACACATTTCTCAAAAAGCTTAACTGTAACACACAAAATAATGCTATTTCATTGTACCATGGGACATTAGCTTCATGATTGTACATAGTAAATTAATGAACATTGTCATGTGATTTATGACGAGGCTTCTAACTTAATGTGAACCCACAGTCCCTAGAGGGACTGTGGTGAACCCTAATACTCCAGCCCCCTCCATACAATTGTGAATTCTCATGCTGATAACTAAGTGTCCTCAAGGGGGACATATAGATCTAAAATGGGGGGGGGGGGTTAGAGGAACAGTTATTAGAGTTATATGGGCACAATCCATGATATGGCACCAATGAACTCTTACATAAGTCGACCTGAACTGGTGGTACCTACACACCCCCCCCCCAAGGGTACATGACACGGCGAAAACAAAATTGCACTGGTCAACTTTAAGCCAATCCCCATGATTTCAAAATATTTGACCCCGAATGCACAGGCCAATACAGGTAGCGAATGGAAGATAACTAAACATTATATTACATGCAATTGATCAAAACTAGAAAATAAATGTAAAGTATGGAGTCAACCCCTAGCTACCTGCTACAACAGAACCCTTGCTCATCACCAACCAAACTTCAACTTTGAAGACTGCTAGAAGTAAGTGTCAACCATTTTAATTTCTTACGTCGTACTCTAGAGGGCGCACTATATACAATCCCACGTCAGGTGTCAAAAGTTTTCAATAATAATAATAATAATAATAATAATAATAATAATAATAATAATTATTATTATTATTATTATTATTATTATTATTATTATTATTATTATTATTATTATTATTATTATTATTATTATATAATTTATAACTTTATTGCCTTATTTATAAAAAACAAAAGAACGTAACTAGTATTGAAATGTTAAATAAATCTTTGTGTTGTGTAAATATAATTTGATCTTTGCTTGAGAGTATATATGTGAACTGTATATTTTTATTTTTGGATGAAAGTAGTGTCATAATTTGTTGGATGAAGTTTTCCCTGTGTGTGTTATATTTTGGGCAATTCAATAGAACATGTTCAATTGAATTCCTGTCAGTTATTGCATATTCTTTTGTTTATAGATTTCTTGGGAATTTCCTCCTGCCTAATTCTAATTTCAAATTATGGTCTCTAAGTCGAAACTTAGTAACCATTCTTCTCAAATTAAAATCCCGAATATCCTTCAAATTCATATCCCATTTTAAACAAATTATAAGTTCTTAATTTGTTGATTCCATGTTTGTATATATTTATTTTTAATTATTCTTTCAACAATTTTGTTAATTCAGTGATGTTTCCCACATTATATATTTTCAGATAAGTTAGCATGTCCAAGAATTGTTTTAACATGTTTTATCCAGCTTGAGTTTTAAGACACTGTTTCTTTAAGTGCACATTTTAGAATATGATTTTCAGGTAACACATACGGAGTACAAAGAAGTGCATCGAAGGAAACATTGACAAATGAAGTTTTCAATGATTAGGGTGATGGTTTTGAAACCATAACTGCCTCAGCACAAACACTGTTGTGTAATGCAAGGGAATGTAAAGGGACATGTATTGTATTGTAGTGTTAACTCTGTGTAATTTACAATATACCTGCATTAACTGATTAGCACAATGTGGGAGTTGATTTAAATGACTCGTAGAAGCAAGGTTGGACAAATTGCATTCTGACCTTGCAATCGGGCTACATTTACTGCCATTTCATACCAGTTCAATTTCCTTTCATTATTTCATCCAGATTTCATGATATTTAATATTTATAACCAACCTTCATTTCACAGTTACTCTAGTTTCCCTTTTCTAAAATTATTTTACTGATCAAGGGACTTATCACTCCCGTCACCGATCACCAATATAAATACAAAGAACCCTCGCTCCCGGGAGCTGAGAAATGATTTTTCTTTAACATGAGAACAACAACAAAACCACGGCTTTCATTTACTAACGAATAGTGAAGGAATAATTATCAGTGTTGTTTTTTTTTCAGCTTAGGAATCAGAATATGTAATACATGTTTGTTATAAAATCAAAATAGAGAATTAATTTTATTTTCGTTGTCACAGAACTGTCGCCACCGACCATGAATTATTCTGGAAAAGTGATGAAAATATTAAGAACATCAGATTACTGCTCCCAGAGAATACACAATTACATGTACTGAATGAATCTCAGTTACATTTGTAAAATATTTGTACCAGTATATTCATGTTATGTAGTAGGTGAATTGTATAAGGACGGTATCCATCTACTACTGGTGTATTATGATTGTCTGCAGCCGTCATTTGCAATTCTAAATATAAAAACCGTTCAATGTTGTATGTAAGTCGCTGAAGCTTGCGTAATTATTCATTAGCTCGATATCATAAACCAGCATACTAGTTTTCGGACTGTATTAGACTGTCAACAGTTCCACTGGCCTAATGTCTTTTTCATCTAAAATGAAAAAACACACACACACATCATACTCAGTAAGTCAGAGGGGCTGTCAACAGTCTGGGACCGTATATAAACCTGGAATACAACCATTCATAGTAATCCCTTCGTACTGTATAATAACCTGAACAATCAGACAACATTTTTATCAAAGTGAAAATAAAGCTGAAAAAGTTGGACAGTATGTGACGTGAAAGTTACACACATTTGAGATTTGTTCTGCATTACTTCACATGCTATGCATGTCATATGATTAACAGTACACAAATAAATGACACGTGACCAGCTCAGAAAGTACACCTCGAATTTTTAAATATGGTAATTCAAATTCTGCAATGACGTCATATATTATTGATGATATACTATTATGTAATACATTTCACTGTGTTGGTGATATTTTTAACGTGTCTTGGCGACAATATACTATTTTGCAATACATTTGACCTGTCTTTGTTGACGATACACTATTTCTCAATAAATAAATAAATGAATGAATAAATAAATAAATAAATAATGATAAGATGATTTGATACATGTATTTTGAAGAGCGCCACCTAGCGACAAAGTGTAGATTTGATGCAATGCATCTTGGGAAAGTACTCGCAAAATCACGTGATCCGTTCTCTTTTTCCACGCTGATCCTTGAGGTGAGCATGGTTCTTGATTGCTTGGTGTGCAATTTACAATAAAACACAATTCCAGTGTAAAATTAGTACGATACAAATCTATGTGAAGAATTTACTGTATCATATGCAGCTTTAACGAACATATTCAAGTAAAACGAGAATGATTTCGTTGACTGACAACAGCTCGGAGTGTTGGTTGTCGAATCAATATGGCGGACATTTTTCTTAACAACACGTGGCTTTCTCGGGATGTGGCAACCCAGTTTGTGCAATTACATTGCTTCACAGCAGTCATATACATTTTTTTATTTATATGAGGCAAGGTAACTATGTTTTAAAATCGTTTGAAAATGTTTGTACACGTGGTTAAACGTCGGACGGCAACACGTGGTGTACACGGGGACTTGATCTAACGCAGTTTGTTGTATTGTTTAAAAATTATAGGAACTATCAAAATTGCTGCCCTGATACGTATTGTTGGGTTGTGTGTGTGTGTATATTATGTCAGTATAAATTATCACGGACATTAGAAAACAATGACATGGAAAATTTCCAGGGCATCCTGCAAAAAAAACCTCCCTCTCCCCAATTTTTACACCATGTATTAATCTCTAGAACATTGAAATAACAGCAATTCTGATACCATTTAACTGACTAACTTCGAAAGTATTTTTATTTTCACCATTATTTGTGTTCGTTTCGCTTGGAATTTTGTGAAGGGTTCTATTAATAGTGAATTTAATTTTAGTTTTTGAGTAAATAAACTGTCACTATTTGTAAAGTCTTCCAAAACAGTAAACTCAATTCTCCAACATGATGCATGTGTGGAGAAAAATATTTCCCCCGAGCAGTGGTTCGGCTCTTGGTGCATTCAATTCGGCCAGATTTGTTAATCTCCCTAAACTAAATTTGTCTGCCTGGTATTGTATCTAACTAAATTAATGTACATTTTATTTTATCCCAACAGTTTTGTCTTTAAAAGTTTTTTAAACATCCTTGACACACTTCAAGATGGTCAGGGAAGACAAGGCAACGTGGAAATCCAATTATTTTTTAAAGATAATTGTAAGTATATTTATCGGTTATCATCCATGTATTTGTTTCAACTCCACTGTTCACTTTGTTGAGCAGAGCTTATCGATAAGTTTTATAGGCACCTTCCCCCCCCCCAACTTCAACCATAACCAAGCCCCCCTATTTCAATTGTACATTTCCTACTTCAGATCACTTTATTTGGAAAAGGGAATATTGAATTATTGAATTGCATTGTGGGGGGGGGGGGGTTGTATCATGAGTGATTGTCTGTCGCCATGTCAACTTTTTACGTTTTTGACTACTTGAAACTTATACTTTGATACTTAGTGTATATGTACCATTAAATTTGTTCATTTCATGATATCTTTCATGCTCTAATTTTGGTGAATATTCTTGTATTTATGTTGTCTGCCTACATGCCAAAATATACACCTGAAACTTGTTGGGGCTAAAAAATAGTTACAGGGTTATTGCTCAACTGTAAATACATTAATTCAAGTTATTCACTGGGTTTTAATTTCGTAATTTTCAGCTAAATAAAATGTAAAATAACAATAAAACTTGTTGTTTCTATGACAAATTCCTGAAATTTAAACAGTGAATATGATCAAAGTAGTGACATTAAATATCGGTGAAATAAAATGTTAAACAGTATTAACTAGTGATAGTAATTTGTCAATTCTTTTCCCTCCCAAGAACTGCATCAATATCGAATGCAAATGTGATTGCTTCTACCAGTGTCCTACCTCTAGCAGTTGATAGCATGCTAAAGTATTGGTAACTGGTAATTTCACATTAGGTGTATTTGAATACAATGTATGGAATTAAAAGAATTCTATACTGCAACCATGTAACAATGCAATAAAACTAATTCCATGCCATCAATTTGTATATTTCAGCAACTTTTGGATGAATACCCCAAATGTTTTCTAGTAGGAGCTGACAATGTTGGTTCCAAACAGATGCAGACAATCCGCATGTCTCTGCGAGGCGATGCAGGTAAGAATGCAGTGATAAATACATTGAAAT